TTTCCCCAGCTGCTGGCATGGAGCCCTGGGACCTGGCGCTCGGTTGGGTGTTGGCAAGTCGGTGTGTGGCAGGGAGAGGCGTTGGTTCTGCCTGGATGGGCATGGCGTGCCATGTCGCTGATGCGGGACTAAAGCCAGTGAGGACCTTGCTGGATGTCCCTGCCGGTTTGCTGGCTGTGGCTCCCAGCCAGGGAGGGTGCGAGCTGCAAACTGGGCAGCAAAGCCGGCAGCCTGGTGTGGAGTGGGGCAGCTGGAAGGGTTTGCTTTGCCTCGCGGGCTGGTGTGGGGATTTGAGCATGCTGACAAGGGAGGTAGGGGCTGCAGATCAAAGCTGGCCTGGGCAGCTGGGCCACCACCGATTTGGGGGAGGCGTGAGGGAAGTCCACTGCACTTGGGGCCAAACTGGCACATTTGAGCTGTGCAGAGATGTTGCCCAGTGTGCCCAAGGGGTTTAACAGGACTGCACCAGGCTTTCTGAGACTGGGAGGTGGCAGCTCACTGTGCAGTGTCCCTGCAGCATGGCAGGATGGGTTTGGAGGTCTCTGCCTGGGACCCCATGCACCCTGCACCTGCCCCAGTGCCAGCGCCTATTTGAGACAAAGAACAGAGGTTTCCCCATGACTGAAAGCCCCTGTTTGGCTTCCCAGTGCCAGCCAGCACAAACTGGCCTGTAGCTGTGAGCTGGGGAGGGGAACAGGGAGTTTCTAGCTGGCTCGGGAGCACGTTGCCTTCAGTGCCTGGATGTGGATGTGGCTCTGCACCATGCTGGTTGCTCATTGACATAGATGAGGAAAGGTTGAACTTGCAAACTGAGCAAGAGCAGAGCCTGGCCCCAGTTCTCAGGGGTGAGTCCTAAAGTGCTCCGTTCACTCAGTGAAGCTGTCCTGGGCTTTATGGTCTCCAGCAAGCCAGCTGCGGGTCAAGTGCTGCTGCGACACGCAAGTAGTGTCTGGGACTTGTTGCTGCAGAAGATGATCAGCTGTGGACTCTTTTGGCTTCTGCTACTGTAGCTTTTCTAGTTTTAATACCTCCTGTGTTTCCCAGGCTGGAAAACTGCAGATCAAGCCCACATCCACATCTTCAAGGGTGGAGCTATTTTGCTCTTTTTCTTTTCTTGCTTTTACTGTCCCCTCCTCCAGCACATGTGTGTCTCCTCCCCCTGTGCCCCACCTGCACCCCAGGCACCCTAACATGGTGGAGTAGCTCAGCCCCACAGTGGGGAGCTGGCACTCCCAGGCCCCATTCAGGTGGAGCCCCTAAACCCCGGTCTTTGTTTTGCCCTGACAGGCCATCACTCAATCCCCGAATGCCATGACTGAGGACATTTATACCAACGGCTCAGCGACTCTGAGCAGCCCCTCTCACAGCAACGGCCGTGAGGTGCGGAAGATACGCCTCATCCAGTTCGAGAAGGTCACAGAGGAGCCCATGGTGAGAGCTGGCAAGATCCCAAAGCCTGGTGGCACCCAGGGGGGCGGAGGGGCAGGTAGAGCCGTGCCAACAGGCTGCCCTTGGGAGAAGCAGGAGATTGCTGGAGACCTCGGCCATGGGAAGAGGGTGCTGGATCCTGCCTCCTGCCTGGGGACCTGGGGCGAGTCCCATCAAAGGCGGTGATGCTTGTGCCAAGAGGAGCTGCAGCAGGCTGGGCTGGCCAAGCAGGGGACTTCCCCCCCAGCCACTGTGCAGCCCACCGTGGACATAGTCCTGGAGAGGACTTTGCTGAGAGGGCGGGAGCTCTCTGCTCCAGTGAGCAGTCATGGATTTTCCTGTCTTCCAGGGAATCACACTGAAGCTCAATGACAAGCAGAGCTGCATGGTGGCCAGAATCTTCCATGGGGGCATGATTCACAGACAAGGTAATGAGGCACTCATAGAGGCAGTGTATGGAGTGCACGTCTGCAGCTGGTTTCCTTCCATGCAGATATAAGGCAGCTCCCCACCACTGCTGGCTTTCCCCTGTGACGTGGACATTTATGTCCATTCCTCCACTAGGAATATGTCAGGAACTCGGGGCTTGCTGGTCTCTCTTCATGGTTGTCATGTTAATACACCGGAGGCTTTAGGGAGAAATGAAGGGTTGGGGGAAGGGTTCTCACAAAAAGGAACCAGAGGCCATCTGTCTCCATCTCGTGATGGGGTCACTGTAACAAGAGATGGATCATACCCCAGAGACTGCAGACTCTTCCCATTCCTAAAGTGCACAGGTGGGACAGGCTTACTGTGGATTGGCTCTGCAGACCAAATGAAGGTGCCAAAAGAAATAAATAGGTGCTATTTTCTGGTTTTGGGTCTTGCCAAGGGGACATGGAAATGAGATGTTCTGCGCTTAGAAGGTGGCAGCCCCTTTTCCAGCCTTGGATCCAAGTGGGAAGTCTGAGCTTACCCCTGCCAAAATAACCCAGGAGCCATTCCAATAACGCTGCTGGAGCCTGATTTATAGCAGTATTATCTGAGGCTGTAATCTGGCTGGATATATAAACTGAAAACACACAAAGTCAAGAATGCTTGTGTTAAGGGCCCTGTAAGGAGGCTGTCATTTGGCTTCAGGTGAGGTACTTGGGGCTGGGTTTGAATAACTCTGAAACAGGTGCTTTGACCAGTCTAAAGCGCTGAAGGACACACAGTAGAAAGCAACCTGATGACCTTCAGGCTGGATGAGGTGTGTGTATTGGTTGGAGGGGGAAGAATTCATTCCCCTTGTGCTTTAGTCCCATGTTCTTAGGTGACGTGTGGCTCCACAAGCGTTGCCCAGGCAAACACCACAGTGTCCTGGCACGGCTTGCCCAGGGGGTTGGGAGGCTGGTGGAGCTGTGTAGTTCGGGTTTGGTGAGCAGCTCTTGTCCGGTCCTGCATTTTCATGTTTCTCCTGTTGCTGGCAGGCTCCCTTCATGTGGGTGATGAAATCATAGAAATCAATGGGCAGAGTGTGAGCAACCACTCAGTTGACCAGCTGCAGAAGATGCTGGTAGGTATTTGTGTTTGGCAGGGCTGTTCCCCGGGAAGGACCCACTTGGCCTGTAGATGTGCATGCTGGCTGAGCATTCACCCCCTCCCAGATATCAGAGCCAACACACAGCTGCCTGCAGCAGTATGATGCAGCAGGAGCCAGTGCCACTGTGCTGAGGTGGTGTAATACAGCCACGCGCCAGGTCTCTTTACTCAGCCTTGGTGGTCTGTGCTTGCTGCTTGTTTCTGGCCTCCTGAGAGCAGCAGAGAAGGCTGTTGGCTGGGTCCCTGACATGTGCTGATGTGTGTGGGGCTTGGAAACTACCTCTGCTTGCCAGTGCTGGTGTACAACTCCAGCCCAGGGACTGGCTGCTCTCGCGGACCTGAGCTGCTCCTGCAGGTCACCTTGGTGCCATTTTCCTGCTGCCAAGGTCACGGTGATCCTGCCAGGTCCTTGCTAGAGACACCTTTGGACAGGTTCTCAGACCTGCCTTGGGTTCACACACTGAGGCCATCCTAATCCATGCCCAACATGCAGGACCTGGCGGGAGGTGGTGGTGCAGCCTAAGCAGGAGGCCTGGCCCTGCTGCAGTGCCACAGTCCTCTCCTGCCTGGTGGCAGGATGTCCCCACTCCAGACAGCGGGACCAAGGAGGAGCTTGTCTTTGCCTCCCAAGAAGGGAGGTTGGCCCAGGAGGCCCCTCCAAGCCTCCAAATGTGGTTGTCCCCATGGGACCATGTAGGTCTTGTGAAGCACATGCGGCAACAGTGCATCTGGCCTGTGGCAGGCAAGGGAGTGCTGTGCCTCTAATGTCACCAGGAAGGCAGGAGTGAGGCCAACATGAAGGGGGCAGATGGAGGGGACCTGGCAGAACCAGCCTCTCCTCCCAGGCTCCTCACTGGGGCAGCCAGGCCGGAGATGATACAGATCTCCATGTTTGTTCTGGTGATGCTTAGCAGTGCCCACAGCCAGCCCCTCGTGGGGGTGTTAGTGTCCCCCCATGGGGATGGGACAAGCATGACAAAGCTATGATGCCACAGCTCTTAGCGCGGCCCCAGCAGAGCTGTTTCTGGCCAGGCTGTGGTGTCCCCCAACATCACAGCATGGCTGGGAGCAGCCAGGAGCTTTGCCTTTGCAGGACCTGGCACTCAGCAGCTCCCTGCACAGGTTGCTGCTGTCGGGCTGCCTCCAGGCACCACCTCCTCCAACTCTTCTTTCTCCCATTCCTTTGTTCGCTAGAAAGAAACCAAGGGGATGGTCTCAATAAAAGTCATTCCCAACCAACAAAGCCGCCTCCCTGCTCTCCAGGTAAGTGCAGCCTCCAGACCCGTGGGCTGTGCTGGGACATGGCTGTGGGGCTGGGGGGGACAGGGCAAACCACAGGGGACCAGCACCAGGGAGAGGGCTGTGCTGAGCCGGGGGAAGGATGAGGGGATGGCTGCCCGGTAACCTTGCCTGAGCTGCTGGAGGATGAAGGGACCTGTCCTGTGCTCACATCGCTGCAAATTTTGGGCTTGTGTGGAAGTATTTACCCAATGTGTATGTGGAAACATGGGCCTGGGATGCCTGAGCCACAGTGGTCCATGTGCGCAGTGTTTGGTGATGGGAAAGCAGCGGCGTGTGCTCACCAGGAAATGCGAGAGAGTTTGCTGCCACCTTCAGAGCTGTGGCTGTTAGAGCCAGATCCTCATTACAGGGCCACAGCAGTACCTGCAGATGCAGCACCGGGCTCTCGCTGCTCCCTGCCGTCACTGGTGCCTGGTGCACCAGCCGCAGGGACAGTGACGTAGGTCCCAACGCAGCCAGCACGCTTGTGAGCAGTGAGTGGGAGGAAGGAAGTGGTGGGGGAGAGGAAGGCAGCTCCTTGCGCCTGCTGCCACTGCCAGGGGTGGGGGGACGTGGGTGACGTGCTGTGGCAGGCGTGACACCTGCCTGGCTTTGCCTTTGAAGTCCTGCTGTGGCTGAAATACTCAGGATAGTGGCCTCTCTGGGGCTGGAAGCCTGGGTACTGAACAGGGTCCAGCATGAGAAGACCTGATCTTTAAAATCAAAAGGCCAGCCCCAGAGAGGGGGGTGGCAGCAGGCAGGCAAATAAGCTTGCATTTGGAGCTGGCCCTTTGCAGTCCGTGGGTGATGTCTGGAGCTGTCTGATGCTAATTCCTAATTGGTGTAAAGGAGGGTCTTTCCAAACGTGGCCTGGCAATGTTTGGCTTGGGATATCAGGGCTGTGGGAGCAGAGGGCTCCAGGCAGGTGCCTGGGCAGTGCTTGCTGGGTGGCAGCAGGCAGGCAAATAAGCTTGCATTTGGAGCTGGCCCTTTGCAGTCCGTGGGTGATGTCTGGAGCTGTCTGATGCTAATTCCTAATTGGTGTAAAGGAGGGTCTTTCCAAACGTGGCCTGGCAATGTTTGGCTTGGGATATCAGGGCTGTGGGAGCAGAGGGCTCCAGGCAGGTGCCTGGGCAGTGCTTGCTGTGTGTCCCTTGTGTGTTTGTGTTTATGACCAGCTTCCTGGTGCCAGAGTGTGCTTTCAAAGCAAGCATCAGTCCTCATCCTGAAAGGAGATTCCACTTTTGTTGTCTTCCATTGTGAGAGATCTCATGTCACAGGTTGATCCATATGCTCTGCTTTTCTGGCAGTGAAAGGGAACCATGTTCGTGTCCTACTAGCCCTGTGCCTCCAGCAGCACTGCTGAAGGAGGACTTACTGTGGGAAATTGTTTAAATATGGAACAAGGACAGCATGGTCTACCCTGTCCCGGGAGGATGACTTTCCAAGCCCTGCCTATCACATCTGAGGACAGGATGTAGACATCACCCCACATGAATCCCTTTGCCCGCATGCTACATGCTGCATTTCTGGGATAAATAACTTGGTAGGTTTGTGCTCAGGGGAAGCTTGCATTTGCACAAGCACAAGGCTGGGTCTGATAGTGCTGCTTCCCATGTAGAAGGATCTTCTGCTAGTGGCACAACTACTGGACAGCCGCAGGCATGCCACTGACTCAGGGCCCAGCACCCTCCTGAGTGATCACAGAAGTCTTAAACAACAGGGAGCACCCATGACTTGTGGGAGGGGCTGCAGGACTTCGCACCATGACTGGGGGTTCCTGGCAGCCTCAGCCCCACAGCACAAAAAAACCCAGGAGGAGAACGAGGGCAATGTGAGTTCAGTGCTTAGCCACAGCCTTACTTTGTTCCCTAAACCATGCCTTTCACTCCCCATCCTCCATACCCTGCCTTGGCTTTGCCCCCTCCTGACCTGGTCCTGATCTTGCCGGCTGCACTGGCCAGAGACAAATTGCAGCTGCGGCAGTGTTTCAGAGAAGAAAGCATTCATCCAGGTACCAAGAGCAAGCAGCAGTACAGAAAATGCTGGGTGCACATTGTCTGCCCTCTTCCTAGGGATAGGTGACTCTCATCCATCCTGTTGCTCTCTGACAGTCTGTTCTTCCTGAACAGCCTTCCTGGAAAACAAGGTCCATGTGCAAAAGCCACATGCCATTTCTCTCCTGACCTTGCAAAGATGCTCAGGGGCAGCGAGAGCCCAGGGGCACCTGGCTGCCTGCTGGCTTCAGGAGGCCTTGAGGCCAGGGGGAGGCAGCGGGCTGGGCTGCCCCAGTAGGAGCAGGCACTGTAGACTCCCTGCCAAAGAGCTGAGCAAGCAGAGGGACAGGGAAAGGCCACTTTCTCACGCCTTCCTGGTCCCCAGGGCTTCCCCAGCCCCAGGAGGATGGCACAGTGGCCTGGGAAGCAGCAGCTCATTTCCAGTTGCAGCTGTGATGAACGTAACTTTGCAAGAGTAGCTGATGCTGAAGAGGCCAGGACAGACCCAGGCAGAGATGGACCCGACACTGCCCTTGACTCCTGGAAGGCTCTGTGCAATGCAGGGGAGTGCCCAATGCCAGGGCACAGCAGCTGGGGATCGAGATGTGGCCTTCCCTGGGGTCCCCAGGACATGGGATTGCAGGGCACACTGTTGCGATGGCTCCGCTCTGCTCACCCCATTGCAGACCCAGTGCTGTGCACTGTGTTGGTCTGGGTGGTGGGACTCATCTCCAGCCGGCTTGGCTCACCAGCACTGGGTAGCACCCGGGGGACTGCAGGGGGGGGGCTACATGTCAGGGTTCAAGCACCAGCTGTGGGGCATGCAGGCCTGCCTAGAGGCAGCAGCCATTTCACTGGCTCCTAGGGCCAAGATGCTGTCCTCCTCCCTCCCTCACCCACCAGCACATCTCACTGCAGCTCCATGCCCAAGAGCTTCCCCAACAGCTTTTTGCGTCTCCTTTCTCCCCACCCAGCCTCGTGGGGCCTGGAAAGCAGCAGGGGCTGGGGTCCCTCCTGGAGCTGGGACCTTGTGCCTAGAGCTGGGTCTGCAGTCAATGCCGGGGGATGCAATGTGGGTCCGGCAGCTGGACACGACCAAGTTCAGCCACTCTGCATGGCCATGCTGACTCCAGCCCACTCTTTCTTTTGCAGATGTTCATGAGGGCACAGTTTGACTATGACCCCAAAAAAGACAACCTGATCCCCTGCAAGGAAGCGGGGCTGAAGTTTCAGACTGGCGATGTGATTCAAATCATAAACAAGGACGACAGCAACTGGTGGCAGGGCCGGGTGGAGGGCTCCTGCACCGAGTCAGCAGGACTCATCCCTTCTCCGGAGCTGCAGGAGTGGTAGGTCCCTGGATTTGGCCAGAAGGGCTGGATCTGGGAGTGGAGGCGGGAACAGTGACCATGTGCTACCAGGAGTGTGACCACGTTGGGTAAAGCTAGCATCACTGCTGGGAAAAGGAGGCAAATGTCCCCTTTACCTGCTGCAGGGTGAGCCTTTACCTGTCCCAGCAGTTACCCTACTCCTCTTACCTTTGCATGTCTGAGGGACAATCCTGCTGCTCCCCCAGGGCTTGGGGTGACAGCTGGACTATGGTGGTGTCCTCCTCTCTCGGCAGGCGTGTGGCGAGCGTCACCCAGTCCAGTCAGAGCGAATCCCCGAGCTGTAGCCCCTTTGGGAAGAAGAAGAAGTGCAAAGATAAATACCTGGCCAAGCACAGCTCAAGTAAGTGTGAGCAGGGCAATGGCCTCCATCCCCAGACCTGGCCTCCTGCCTCTGGGCAGGGGCAGGTCTATCCTCCATGGGAGTCAGGCCAAATGGCCCAGCTGTGTTGGCAGTGGAACCTTGGGAGGATACCCCGCAGCTGTCAGCTGTTTTGAGTCCCTTCTCCAAAGTCCTTGTACCTCTCAGGTGGCCACAGCTGTGTCCCCATGCAGCTCTGTAGTGCATGAAGCTGGGGCTGGCTCACATGGGAGCCAGGCACCGAGCTCCCGTGCTGTCCTGCAGTGACAATCCCTGGTGCTCCTGGCCCCAAGCTCCTTGGGAGGGCAGGCTCCCAGGCCCTCAAACCCTGCAGGATGCTGAACACAGGGCAGGCAGTGGCCTTGCTGCTGCTCAGCAATTAGAGAGCAGCCCAAACTGCTACCTACAGCTGCCAAGCTGTGTCCCTGGTGGGGCAGGGAGCCTGCCCCTCAGCCACCTGTGCAAATGCCCCGTGTTAGCACGCCCTGGGCCAGCAAGGGCGGGTGCCCAAGGATGTGCTGGCTCTTAGCCTGGCATGCAGCTCCAGCCAGCAACAAACAAGGCTGTAAATCAGCAAGATAAATAAAGCTCCCACAGCAACAAGCTCCCTGCAATGTCCTGCCACCTCGCCACCCAGGTCCTACTGTCTTGAGCAGAATTACTGAGTGAGAACAGCCATGGCTTCTCCTTCAGCAGCTGCTGGTCCAGCTCCCCAGCACCCCTGCTGCACCTCATGTGCTGCTTGCTGCTAAGGCTGCTGTCCTTTTCCCCAAGTAGCCAAAAGGACAAGCTCCGACCCTGTCCTGATCGCTCCCTCCATTTTGCCCAAGGACCTGGCTTCAGTCCAACGCGCATGCGGTCCTGCTGCTGTGGCTGGGCCAGCTCTGACCATTTGCTGTCTTGTTTCTCCTCTGCCCCAGTTTTTGACCAGCTGGATGTGGTTTCATATGAGGAGGTGGTGAGGCTGCCTGCCTTCAAGAGGAAGACTCTGGTGCTCATTGGTAGGTCCTGCCCCAGGCATCCTCTGCAGCACAGGGTCTGCATGTGTTGGGTCCTGGGGGGAACCAGGACTGGACAGGGGCTGGGGCAGCGCTTCCCTTCAAAACCTAGTAAGCTCTGGGGAGCATTTCTTCTGCCTGCAGCAGTCACCAAGCAGGCTGACTTCCTCCATGCAACATTGTGCATGGTCTGGCACCTTCACTGTGATGCTGAGGTAGAGTTAATTCAGGAGTTTCCAGCTCCTAAGTAGCTTTATGGATAACTTTCATTAAAAGCAGCTCTGGTCTGCACAGCTGCACCAAAGCAAGCACTCCCATGCTTTGGGTGCTGAGCACTTGTTAGTGGAATCCGCGGGCATGGGCAGCCTATGCAGCCCAGCCATGCTGGCCACTCGGTGCCAGTCCCATCTCCAGCTGGGGCTGGAGGTGAGCTTGCCCAGGCAGGGAGAGCTGTGGAGGGGCCCCAGCGTCTCCTGCCAGGCTTTTCTGAGCCTGGCTCCAGCATCCGTCCCTCCTTCTCTGCAGGAGCCAGCGGTGTCGGCCGTAGCCACATCAAGAATGCTCTGCTCAGCAACAACCCGGAGAAGTTCATGTACCCACCCCCGTGTAAGTACCCAGCCAGGGTGGATGACACAGCACAGGGTGCATTGCATCTCACCTCCTTGAGCCAGGACCTTCTGACAGCAGGAGATGAGATGATTGGAGGTGGGGAGATGTTCCTCCAGCACCACCAAGTCCCCGATGTCAGAGGCCACACACAGGGCACTGTAGGGCCTCTCTGCCTGCTGTCCCATGCGCTGAACCTACCCACAGATGGCTGCAGGGCCGCTCCTGTCCACATTACAGAGACACCTCACTCTTCACATCCCAATGGCTCTCTAGGGGCTGGCTGAGTTCCCTACTTATCCCAAACAGAAAGGAGTTGAAAGGGGATTAGTACAGCCTAGTCTTGAGTTACACAGGTCCTCCATGCCCTAGCCCCATGCTCAAAAAGGGAAGATGCCCAGGTGTTGCGTCAAGAGGGCTTTGGAAGGTACCCAATTTATCGTTATAAGTCCGGTCGCATTCAGTACACTGAACTATCGCGATTACAGATTCACAAATAATGTTGGCACCTTCCGTCTAGTCGTGCTGCATGAACTATCACGACCACACTTAAAGCGTCTGGTCGCGTTCAATGACCACTATCACGGCTAGACCAATAAGTCAAAGCAATTTATTAAAGCAACAGACACACAGGTTCTTTGGATTACCGATGATAAATTCACTGACTGCAAGGCACATGCAAATACCAAAGCTTTGGATAATACAGATGCATCAAAAGTCATAAAAGTGACTCTATAGAGGTTTCTAAGTTTCCCAGGGAGGCACTTGGTATAACCAAGTGTTAGATTCTTACCCAAAGGCATCCTGATGGGGTGGGGAGAGAGGCTCAGCCCGTCGACTGATCCCAGAGGTCAGAGTAGTACATGATGGTATCACCTCTCTCTTAGGCTAATTTATAGGGTTTTTTTAACCTTTCAGGTGGCGCTTGAGGGACTCTAGTCATACATACTTTATTACAATTGGTGTAAAACTTTCTCTCTTCATTTTAAAGGTATAGGCTCGGAAAAATTCAGAGCGCAGGCTCAGTGAGGAATGGTCTCACCTTAGAGGTGGGTAGGTTTGGGGATGGAGGTGTGTTTTGGTATTATAATGAGCAAAGTTTACCAAAAGGACAGGATTTTGTCAACATCATGACAGTTTGTTGACTCAGGGTATCACTTATGCAGCTTATCAGTGCCGTGGTGCCCCTCCGAGTTCCCTTATCGCAGGGCTTGGATGTCATGTCTCCGCACCACTCCACCCCCTGGGCAGTTCCTCTTAGAATCACCACACCAGGCTCCCCTGGGTTGCGACATCCAAGATTACAGGCTTAGGGAACTTCCTGTGGAATAAATTCCAGCTGCATACCACCTGGGCAGCTTCTTCAATGCTGTGTTTTTCTTGAAATCATAAATCTAAGTCTAATGTCTAAGTCACCTCCAGCAATTACTCTACACCAGGTCACCCAGAGTGGAGGCTGCCTGCTCTGCTCTGCTCCCCAGTCCTTCTGGGGGCTAGCACTCACCATCTCCCTCCCTCCCCAGACACCACACGCCCCCAGAAGAAGAATGAGGTGGATGGGAAGGACTACTACTTCGTCTCTACCGAGGAGATGACCCGGGACATCTCAGCCAATGAGTTCCTGGAGTTTGGAAGCTACCAGGGAAACATGTTTGGCACCAAGTTTGAAACAGTGTACAAGATCCACCAGCAGGACAAAGTTGCTATTTTGGACATTGAGCCCCAGGTAGGGAGCAGGGGAAGGGGTGGGCAGGAAGGCAGCTGCTACAGATTGAACTACCCTGCGTGCTGGCTGTGACTGTCCCTGCCTTCCCTGGTGCACTGCCCACCTGTCCTTCCCAAAGGAAAAAGCCAGGAAGTGCTGGGGTGGCATTTCCATTCCTAAGGCATGGGTGCAGTGAGGATAATCCCTGTCACAACACACACCTGGCTGTGACAGCAAGGCCGAGGCCAGGCTGCTTGTGGGAGTGGGGGTGCAGGGCCACCATGGACCCTGCACAGGGACCCTTTCCCCTCTCCGACACCAAACGTGTGGGTGTTGCTTTGCAGAGGCAGTTGTGTCCCCAAGTAGCCCAGCAGCCAGCCCAGAATACAGCTGGGGATGGCCTTACATCCTCCCCCATAAGGTGCAGGGGAAGCCATGCTGGGACCTTCACCCAGCTGTCCCCACATCACCCAACTACCCCTAGGCTCAGGAGTCCACCCAGACAGCCCATGGTCCCCAGACTAGGGATGGCCCCTTTAGCCCACCATGGCATCCCAGGCACCACTGCACCCTGGCTGGGGGGCAGCGTGGGGTAGTGGGGGGCAGCTCCCACCCTGAGGAATGGCCACACTGGTAACTACACCCCTCTCTCCACAGACCCTGAAGATCGTCCGCACGGCTGAGCTCTCCCCATTCATAGTCTTCATTGCCCCAACAGACAAGGCAGAGCAGGTGGGTGGCAGGGCACTGAGGCTGAGTGCCCTCCAGCTGTGCTTGCTTGCCCACAGCACGGGGGGCAACAAGCCCGATGCAGCAGCCCAGGGCTCTCTCCCTGCTCCACACCAGCTTCTTCCCATCTGCATTGCTTTTTGTGGTCCAGGAGAGCAGGGCAACTTCCTCAGCCCAGACCTGAGAAACAGGAACTGGCGATTCCTGCAGCCGTAGGCTCTCTCCCAGATTGACATCCCCCAGCAACCACCCTCCCTGCAGCATAATCAGCCGCTAACATGTAGCACAGCCAAGCACCCAGGGCTGTCTGCAGAGCCGGATCCTGCCATCAGCTATGCAAATGGAACACACAAACAGCATCTCCTTTCATTCTTTGCCTCATTAAGATGCTCATCCCTCCAAAATTAGGATGAAAGCAGCAGTGATGCTGCAGTTAACTCATGCAGCATCAAGCACCGCAAGGCTGGCAGCCACACACTGCCATTTCCTGGGAAGCC